TTTTCTAATACACCAGGGTTAATTGTCCTGCTTGGGGAGGCTGCTGATGCTGGGGAGTGTTGTTCCTATGACGGGGGTGTGCTTGGTCTAAAACAATGTTTAGGCTGGGTGTCACAGTAGCATCCACATGAATGCCAGGACCCAGCAGAACATTGCATTGTAACGAGATTATCAACATTATGTACTTCACCTGTCAGTGGGTTTAATGTTGTGGCTCATGAACTACATCTGTCACTGAGGCCTTCCTCTGGGTTCTCTGCTACACCGGGTCTGGACTGAGGAGAATGTGGGCAGCACTCCTGTGAGACCCCTCAGCCCCACCTCATACTGTTGCTGGGTATTATCAGTATTCTTTTTTTGTTAAGTAGTACAGCTCGGCTTTCAAATTGTCGTCACGCTTCACTTGTCCACGCGTAGCCTCCATACTTAACATAGCATGAGTTAAAGCACACAATCATTCCTATCAATAACTCCACAACTGTGTACTTTGCACTTCACAACTGTTCCATTTTAATGGCTATGTGTCTTTAGCTTTTTTGTCCTTTTTAATTTTTTTCTCCTTTATTCTCACATTTATACCCTTTATGTAATACGCCTTTGAATTTTTAAAAAGCAAAAGTAAATTAACGATTTTCTTCGTCTGTAATTCAGCTGTCATTTTTATCATTTCTTCCGCAGACAGCAATAACGTATCATATAAGCATTAACTAATAATTAGAGACCTGTTCCTGGTTTTCAACATTTGTCCAAAATTAATTCTCCAGGTCTGAGCAATGCCGACTAGAAAATTCACACAAAACCAAGTTTTTCAGTCCCTAAGACAGTGTCTGGAATGATCTCCTCTTTGCTACTTCGTCACCTTTAGTTGTGTTCAAAGTCATTCTGTATTTCACTCATTTACTATTAGCTGCATAAGAAACTCTCGGGAGAGTTAGGACACTGCACCGCGTTTTACAGATGAAGAGCTGTTAAGAAAAAAATACATGCTATGAATATTTTTCTTCCACATTGAAGCTATTTGAGGGCATTGTTAGAAGGCATACAGTTTATTTTTAGAAATTTGGACTCTCAAATAAAATGGTGCAAAGTAAATATTGTGCACTAGAAAGCAAACCTGGAGATGCCAGACAAAGCATTCCTATTGTGTTAATAGCTGTGTGTGTGTGTGTGCGTGTGTGTGTGTGTGTGTTTGAGGGGATGTGGGTGTGTTTCCCTCATAGCTGCAGCGCCGGCAAAACAAATGGTCTGTCTCCTCTGCGTAACCAGGGCTCCAACCGATCCAGGCCGAGCTATGCCAAATAAACACCAGAGCTGTCAAACTCCAGCTGACCAACTACTTCGGTGGTCTGACACACACACAGACGTGCACACACACACAGACGCACACACACACACACACACAACCGCTGTGTGATGCGCATTTGATTTCATTTGGACAAACATTACAGTTTTTTCACCCAATCACTTAAGACTCCTGATCAGATAATCGATGAAAACAATGTGTTTCTAAATTTTCATGATCATATTAAAGACAAAGCCTGAAGTCAATTTAATAAAAGTATTGACAAATTACTTTTAAAAATCGTCCCCTGCCTGCAGCTCTAAACGGTGGTCAGCCACTTCCTGTTTAACAGCTTGACTGGTGTTCATCTGTGGCAACTTGAACTGACTGGACAGAGTTTAAACAGGGAGACCCAAAACTCACACAGCATGTCAGGAGAAGAACTATTAATTATCTGATCTGATAATAAACTAGTTGGGCTTAAGTCCAAGTACAATACCAAGTCAACACCAGGCACTGCTGATCCAGTGGCTCACACTCCCCACAGTGAAGCATGGCAGTGGCACCATCATGCTACGGTAATTGTTCTGGGTACTAAGTAGAGAGTGACTGGTCAGAACTGAGGGAAGGATAAATGCAGCTAAACAGAGGTTCTTATGGAAAACCTGCTTCAAGCGCAGCAAAGGTTCACTTTTCAGTATGACAATGACTCAATGCAAACAGCCAAGACAACACAGGAATAGCTACGGGTCAATCTCTGTCTGCCCTCGAGTGGCCCAGTCAAAGCCAAGACCCAAAACCCAATGGAACATCTGTTGTGAGTGCCAGATGATGGCAGTTCTAAAATGTTTTCCATCCATCCTGACTAAGATTGAGGAGATTCGCAGCAAGAACGGGAGAAACTGCCCAAATCCTGGCGTGCAAAATCTGTGGCGACTTAAAGCTGTTATAACTGCAAAAACTGGCTTTTACAAAGTACTGAATTAAGGGTCTGAAAACATTGTAAAGGAAAGATGTCAGTCTGTCATTTTTAAAACATTTGCAAAGATATGCTTTAACTTCATCGTTTTGGGTTTTAGTGTTGATGGAGAAAAAAGCTGATTTGGCCACACGCATGTGCATGTGAGTGCATGTGAGTCCTTCCCTTTGAAACTGTGAGCCCACCCCACATCGACTAACACACAGAGTGACCTCCCACACAACACTGGAATAGTCAAAGTGCAGTCTGAAGCATTCAGCCGGTGCCATAAAACCCAAAGTTAGCAAAAGGGAGCACTTGGGGAGTCTAAATTCATAATGTTGAAAAACTTGAGGAAGCTGAAAAAGTCAACACATTGTATCAGGGGATGACAGGGGGAAAAAAAATCTGAAATGAAAAGAAAGAAACCAGTACCATCAGTGCCCATCTGTAGCTGCTCCTGTTGCCATGGTTCCACTCCATGACAAAAACATCGGCCGTGCTGCCAGCCAGGCCGACGGGGATGTCACACAGGATACTGGCTGAGGACTCCAGGAGGTGTTGAGCTCCCGCACATTTTGGAAGACGTGTTTTGTACACACAAGCACTATACACATGTTTGCCCATGCATGTCATCGCTGCGGTAGGGCAGAATGACTGTGCCCGCGCAGGCTTAGCCAGACCCAACTTTCCAAACACTATTGGAATCGCCCCGCTGACCGTCAACGCTAACAAACCCACTGTTCGTGCATGCACACACACAAAGTGTGGAACTGATGACAAGCAAAAGAAAATGAAAAAGGGATGCGGTAAAAAAAAAAAGAGAGAGAGAGAGAGGGCAGGAGTTCAGATTTTCCTTTTGTCTGCCTGGTCCTCAGCATGAGTTTGTTGAATAACCGGTTATGTAATAAGGCCCATCGCCATGGTTACCACAGACAACATGGTATCCATGATATCACCAACAATTATCTCTTCAGGACACTGTGGCTGTGACATCATTATCGAGTCAGTTTCAGTGGTGACAGTTAAAACCCTGGCTGTTGAACGCAGCCTGATAGTGTCCATCTGCTTTAGAAGGAATATTGAATAACTGTTGGAAAACTTCAATTGATCATAAAACTGAAAATTTTTCAAATTGTAATGTTCCAAACTGATCCTACGCAAAACCTGGTCAAAGCTGTTCTTAAGTACTTTGACAGATTCGGTGCAATAAAAAAAAGACATACGACATCAGCAGCAAAGTCACTGGAAAGTACTTCTCAGTGTCAGCTGCTATGAGTTGAATGATGCGCCTCCCTAAATTATCTAAGAAAGATTTTTCAACATTTCTGGAGGATAATAAAACAAAATGAAATAGTAAGAGTGAAACTACCGGCAACAGATGATTAACTTAGCTTCACAAAATCGACCTACCAGCACCGATAAATTCACTGATCAAGAAAACTAAGCCAGTGGAGTTAAGTGACTGCAGACTGCAGCTCTACATTTACCAGACAGAAATGAAAATAGTCTCGATCATCATCTAACTCTGACCAAAAGCATATTTCCAAATAACGTCAAGCTTTGCCTTTAGTGTGATTTGGGTTTTCTGCTAAACTACTGATAATCTAATAATGTTTTAAAGCCTTTGCAATATTATCTGCATATGAATTTCAGGCCAGTCAGACAAGAACCATGAAAAGACCAGATCAGATTTTGTCATAGATCCAAATGACCGATAATAAATCTGTGACAGAACCAGAGTATCATCGGAAACTCAAGACTGCCATGATGCACGTCTTTACAAGTGAATGTAAACTTTTTTTAACTGTACACTGCAGTGCCATCACAGCCCACACTGTACCCCAATCAACACAATTAGAAATAAAAATGGCAAAAGTTGAAAAAAGATTCACGTGGCACAAAAATGTACAAAAAAAAAATTAAAAGTGGAAATACACATATTTTTACTGCTCAAGATGTTGCAGATAAAGTCTGGATAGAAAAAAAAAACTGGGGCCCTCCATCACAAAAACACAGAAAAACCATCCATTCAGCACTTAGTATAATTTGATCCTTCCTACTTTCTCTCTCAGTGTAAATACACGGTCAACAGGCAAACACAAACACCCGCACACACACACACACCCTTACCCCCTACACAGACAAACACTGCCTATGTCTGGTACCCGTCTTATTATGGACGTTCACATGCTGAACCACTCAGACAACTATTCCAGTGTGAGTTCGTCTGTGTGTGTGTGTGTGTGTGTGTGTGTGTGTGTGTGTGTGTGTGTTGTTTGCAGCGCTCAGTGTTTTCCTGCTGGTGGTGGAAGTGATTTGGAAAGAATGCAGTGGAAAGGGAGGGGCGTCGCGGCTGTTAAACCAGCAGGGTCGGGCCTCAAATGAAAGCGCGGCGCTAACGAGGGCGGATGCTAATTGAAGAGCCTCCCAGCGTGGGGTCACAAACACACACAGACAGACACACACACATTTGCATCATTCCCTGCTACAGCATGTATACACACATACAGTGCAAAAAAAAAACTAACAAACATGTATTTGCAAGGGATTCACACTGGGTTTTATAGTGAGTGTGTGTTGGTGTTAATGGCTTTTTTGATGCCAGCTGAGAAAGCATTAGTGTCCACATTAGGGTCAGGCAGCAGGACTTTCAGATTGCCTGAGTGTCACTGTATGAAATTGGTAATTCCGACTGTGATCCAGGAGGGGGGGCTGGCCTCTGTTCTCTGCAGCCCGATACAGTACCACAGCTCAGCTGTTACAGCTCGGTTAGCCTTGTTAGCCATCCCGTTTCCAAAATGTGACTTCAAAGTAGCAAGAATAGCGACAAGACAGAGCTGAGTCGTGGCAGCAGATGTTTAAGGAGCTCTGTCAGATGTGCACAGGAATTATCAAACAAAAAATACACTGAAGGGCAGAGAGCTAAAGCTATTTTAGATTTCAGTTCTTCCTAGTGGTTTACCAGAGCAGACGGATTAGGATTTTATACAGTTCATGCGTAAATATGGGAATGCACCGCTTCCCAATATCAGTGCTTTTCCACTGTACTCAAAGTCTGGATGAACATCAGACCAGGGATCACTGTGGCACTAAAAGGTCAGCGGCCTGCTGCGACAGAATGAAGGAGACAGCATTGTCTCATGTTGAGTGTGATTCTTTTCTTTGTAGCTATGTATAATACCACGTGGCATCTAAGCTGTACACTTATGCAAATATTCCAGACTGAGGAAAAAACCTTGCATATATGTTACAGTACTGAACTAATCCAGTTTCTCACATAGTAATAAATCCACTGTGCCAGTGAAATGAACAGAGGGTTTATAAAGTCAGCAGTGGTACAGATACGACCCAGTGAATTGAAGCCTCTCTCTTGACATGGGTCAGTAATCTTTTCAGCCTAAAGCTACCAACATTTAGAACTCATGGCCATTTAAATTAGCATAATTTCTTACCACAAGCACATAATAAAGTGTTCAGTGTTCGCTCTATAGCTTTGTTCTTGAGGGGCAAAAAGGCTAAAATGGAAATATTCTTGTCTTCTTATTGTCAACAACTTTGATGAAGAAACAAAACCAACAGGATCAAGGACAATCTGAGGTGGAGCCTAATAGAAGGCGTGCTGATGACAGTGCATGGACATAACACAAGATTTCTGGAGCATTTCAAACTTCTTACTGTATTTGTGCATCATCGATGGAAAGAATGTACAATCCAAAGCCCCTCCAAAGCCCGGCAGCGACTACTTCAATCACAACTTGTTCAATAATGAATTATAAAAGGTGTGAATGACAGAGAACTTCCTTTTGCAGTCTCTTATCAAAACAAGCATTTGCTTTAAGCGCTATTTGTTTTCCTGCTACATGTGCATTCAGTACGTTTGCAAAGAGGACAGTCGATGTGGTCACAAATTTTGGGCTGCATGTGGACATCACAGATGGTGAAACTCACATGACACATACCCTTGCTGACATGTGGAACGCATGAATTGGCCTTTGCTCTGTCTCTTAATACTTTGCCACTTTCACAGCTTGTTTGTGATACTCACACTCCAGTGGTTCCGGCTATGATTCAAATTTTCAAAGTGGGTCACAAACTAAAATGGCACTCCAACTACAGACTGTGTTCATGGTAGGAA